CCCCCCCCCCCCTCTATTTGTTCGTATTTTTTTATGGCTTGGGTCACTCTTACTCTCATCCTTGCCCTCTCTACCTCTCTCTTCGTATGTAGACGGGCATCGCCGGCGTGGAGTTCTGGAGCTTGAATACAGGTGAGACAAGAATGCCTTGCCGACTGGTTTCCGATGGTCTCGCGAGTTGTTTCGACGACGAACGGAACTGCTGATTATGAGAAAGCTAGCAAGACGGTTATCATTACCGTATACTCCGACGTAAGGTAACACACCCCCTTGACCGGTTTTCAAAGCTCGGTTTATCAACAGCAGAACGAATCGCAGCGCGGAAAACGGCGGCGTTGAAACCGTCTGGTCGAGAGCTCTCCGAAAGCGTATCGTTTCGTTTATGCATCCTCTTTTGTAGTCGTGGAGTAATCGAGCTTTGAAAATCGATCCAAGGGGTGTGTCCTCTTGTGCCGGATACGGTAATCCGCTGCGATGTGCGTGCTTTCAACGCTGTATTGTCATGAATCCCCAGCGGATAGCAAGGCTAGATGACCCCCTTCATTCATCTCGGGAAACGTTCACAGCCTGCCGCTGGCGTCGCATTCTATCCTCTGTGCCCCTTCCCCCCGATCGTCTCAGGCGTGAAAAGCCGACCAATCACACCATCTCCGTACCCATCCAACCCCCCGTGCCTCCCTTCATGTCCCGGTCGTTGGTGATTCTGTTTTGGACTTGCAGATGCTCAGGCTTTGAGCCGAAACCTCGCCCCGGGGAAGCTGGCGATCGGGCAGTCGGTCACTCGCGGGTTGGGGGCGGGGGGCGTGCCGAGCGTGGGGCGGAAAGCTGCCGAGGAGAGCATGGACGACCTCCGTGAGTACTGGAAGCCTTAACCTTGACTCCCATCCCTCCACCCTGAGGACCTCATTTAGCCTCACGATTACACCTCGAGTATGACAAGAACCTTGATTTCCAACAATGGCAACATCAGCAACAATATTGGGCATGACAAGTACGGTGCAGACCTTGATACTGATCGATCGAACCAATCACCCACTGGCCTTTTGTACATCTCCCTCTCCGCTCTTTCTGTTTTTGTGTCTAACATTTTGCTGCTATCGCTGCTTCCTTCTAGGGCTTGTCGTCCAGGGTGCTGATATGGTCTTCGTCACGTGCGGGATGGGAGGGGGCACCGGTGGGTCCTGCTTGTCAAATAGTGATAGACTAGCACGTTCTGTAGGGCACGCAATTTGAGACTGAACAGCGCGGGAAGCTGTGCTGAAGTTGTTGCTGAAATAAGGTCGTCTGTCCACTCATCGCCATCGTTTTCAGCCGTCATCGTACATGTACGGTTGGCGAAAGATAAGAAACAGGCACCGCCGAGATTGCGCCGCGTTATTTGCCTGGATTTCACCCTTTTTACATATACGATCTCGCTGCAACTACCTAGAGTAGAGTCCATCTGCTGCCCCATTCGAAGCGGTCTAATAAATTGAATTCTTGTCGGAATTGATCCTTTTTTATCTGGTCTCTCGATCGAAAGTGTTCCCCTCTTTCCAGGCGTACGGTGATGATACTTTTTTGATCCGTGTTGTGAGGGCTTAGACTGGAAATCACGCCCCCGATGTTGTGTTGAATGTGTTTGAAGCAAAGACTCTCTCTGACGAGTGGCGATTCTCACCGCATTTTCCGCCGCTGTTATCGGGGGTTCCGCCGTGGCAGGTTCTGGGGCGGCACCGTATGTAGCAGAAGCTGCCAGGGACCAGGTGTGGTCCTCTGAAATAGTCTTCCTGTTTTGACAGTAGCAGTTTACGCCTGGTTTTACACTTGCAGTGCTTCTCATTGCTCTTTGACAACCTTAAGAAAGGCACACAGAATTGACGTCGCAGCATACAGAAGTATCCTCTGGATAGAGAGTCCGGATGCGTTCTGCCTAACGGCAGTCGTTATGTTGTTGGCGGGGCAATTGACGCTGTTGTGTGCGAGTCCTGGCGGTTGACCTAGCTGGTACCCATACGTGGCAACCGAAGAGCGAGCTGCCCAGCCCAGCATCTGAACACGATGCTGAGAGGAAATTGCGAACCTCACATGCGTCTCTGGAAGATGGCTTAACTGTTGTAGGTTTGTTCCTACCCGGTGTGGCGTGTTGCATTGGCAGCAGAAAGCAGCAACAATTAACACTATCATAACAACAATTTTGTATCGTCCGGCTCTCCAATTCTTGTAATGGAGCAATGAAAGTCAACACCAACTTCTTACAACGTGGTCGATTAGAGCCTGGACGCATCTTCCGATGCGCGGCAACTAGTAACACCGCTTCAATCTTCGAAGCCTATTCGGGGATAAAGGAGGTTTCCTGCACAAGTAGCGTCCGTGATGGAAGGTTCAGAGACTTCGTGTGTCAGTGTGCGGGGTTAAACAATCTTGAGTGCGGGTGGCATACGACAAGCCGCTCCTGCTGCGGAGAGCCCTCCCTGTGTTTCTTTCGACTAGGCGGCCGTCTGTTTGTTCGGCCCGTGCGGTAGACGGGTCTATGGCCTGTTCGGTAGACCGTTCCATGGCCCGTTCGTTCCACGCTGAATCACATGCCCCCTCGTCTCGCTTGGTGTGGCGAATCGTACTGCACCTCTCAGGGCTGCTTGACCGTTGGCGTCGTTACTAAACCTTTCGCGTTTGAAGGCCGGAAGCGCATGAGTCAGGTGATTATAGAAATGATGGATGGATTCAAGTGATGTTGCGATCTGTTACATGGCAATTGCGCTAGCTAGGTGACCATCGTGGTGGATGTTGCTCCATCTCATTATTTACTCGGAGTTTGTCTTCGTGTTTTTGTTCGTCGTTGGTGTTGGCGGAATTTACCGATTTTGTTTGATGCAACGTAACCACCGTGTCGTTCAAAACAATTTCGATATACTTTGATGTGATTGCGGCATCCATTTTGTGACCAAATACAAGTTTTCTGATGTCAGCGATCTGTGAAGCCATTCGCCTTGGCATCATTGACCCAACAACTTTCTTGTTGTCAACTTGGTGCTTGATCGTGTTTCGTCTGTCTGTCTGTTGTGCGGGGTAGGCGGATGAGGGGATCGAGCTCCTGAGGGAAAAGGTGGACACGCTGATCGTTATCGCCAATGACAAGCTCTTGCAGGCAAGATGGGGGTGTCGGAACCTTAGCAAGAGCGTCATCGCGCCGTACATCGACGTTCTCTTGATTCCTGTTCCATACCGCAGTTTTACATCGCGTCATACTTAAGTATATAAAAGAGCGTGACCCTCTCGATGAGATAATTTGGGCCCGCAGCCGTACGCCGTGTGTGTCGGCAAAAGTTTCTGTTGTTCGATCACCCTCCAGATACATCGGTACAACCGCTGTGCGTTCCTTTCATGGGGCTAATTCGAGATCGCATATCACTGGCCAACTCCTTGCAGATCGTACCTGAGGACACCCCCGTGCAAGATGCGTTTCTCGTAGCGGACGACATTCTCAGGCAGGGCGTGGTGGGAATTTCGGAGATCATCATCAAGCCCGGATTGGTCAACGTTGATTTCGCCGATGTCAGGTATGAAATGACTGGGTAGAGATGGGGAGATTTTTGACGCTGCACTAGATCGTTTTGGGTACTGGTGTGCTCGGTCATTGTCGGCGTGGCATGGCACACCGTCCTCTCTGTTGTTGATGCGCTGCTCGTGGTGACTTGGACCCTGCCGTCTTGTGACTAACACAAACTGCGCCTATGTGTATAGTTGTGTGCTGAAAACGTCCGTGATGAAAGCCCTATTTGTTCGTTTTGTGCATGCTGTATGCGCGCTCACAGGTCTGCAACCACGTTATTTGTTTGTATGGATCAGCAGGTTCCTGGTGATGGCTGTTGTCTGTCTGTCTGTTTCTTGTTGCGTGCATGTCCGTATCGTGGATCCCGTGACCATGCCCTGTCGTGTGGTCCCTCCGCGTGTGCCTTTGCGATGCTACAGGTCTGTGATGAACAAGGCCGGGACTGCCTTGATGGGACTCGGAAAGGCCAAGGGAAAGAACAGGTGAGTGAGTGCTCACTATTCGAGACAATCAGTGCGGCGACTGCCGTGCATGTTGTTTCTCTTACAGAGGCGTATATGCTGTGATATGGTTGCACGACATATACCGCCATTAAACACAAGGATTTAGTTGACACGGTATGCGAAGAGACGTCCTCCTTCTTGTGCTGAAAAAGGCGGGACGTAGTGTCGATAGGATAGCTAGGATAGAGAAAACATTTTTGTTCCACCTTTCGCAAAGTAGGAAGGAACGATTGGACATCGGTGATCGGCCCTGTGGGAACAATGCTCCGTCCTCTCGAGGACGCGCGTGGTCAATGGTCAACAACTACGGCGTGCAAGACATGAGAGTACGCCCACCCCGCCCCCCAATGCCCTCTCCTTCTGGTGCTTTTTTTCATGTTGCCGTGCGGTCGTGGCCGCAGGGCTGCCGAGGCTGCAAGAGCAGCGATCGAATCCCCGCTGCTCGACTTCCCAGTGACCGACGCAAAGGTAAGGTATGCATAGGTAAAGGGGAGATAGAACAAGAAACATGTTTGTAAGCAACCTACACGCTGCTCTCCGTGTAGGTTTGTCTCCCTGCGTGTTCGTGTCCTGCCGCTGGAGCAATTAGTTTTCTCTACCGCTAAGGACAGAGCCAACGCAGTACACGAGAAGGATATGACATGGGCGGATCAACGAAAACACTTAGAAAAATGTGCCCCGGGGCATTCGATCAACTTTTGGCACGTGTTTTGGTTGTTTTTGGCGCCCAGGGGCGTTCCACTTCTGAGGCAGTCGCCACAATCCTCATGGTACGTTTCTTGGCGATGTTTGTTATACCATCCTCTGCCAAAGGGGCAGTTTTGTCGCTCCTATCTACCTACGACAGTGGAATTATCGAACATTCTGCGCGCTAGGCCTTGTATCGTTGAGACAAAGAGAGCTTCGGTTCATCGAAGGCTAGCGTTGCTGACGTTTACCTTTGTCAATAATTCACCATTCAATCCCGTCGGCGGCCCTCCTACCTGTCTGGGTGGAGGGGGGTCCCGCAGACTATATATATATATTTTTTAAATCATTTTTGCTTTATGCCGCTACAAACCTCATCTATTTGCATTGCCGGTGTGGTCGATGTCCACCTGAAGACACTCATGCCTCCTATCTCATGCAGCAGTGATTTTGCTACGCTTGGCCTTCCGTGCGCGTTTCTTTTGCGTCTCCGTTCGGACGCGTTGGGGTTGTTCTGCCTTTCTCCACAGGGAATCGTGTTTAACATCATTGGAGACGCGGGTCTCACCCTGGCAGAGGTGAGGAGTCAGTCCTGCAGAGTATGTTGAAATACGATGAGATTTGTATGAGATACGATGTACGACGAGAAGCGATGTTCAGCTATCTCAGCTTCCTGCCACAGAGGAGACCAATAACAATAAGTACGACCAAAGGAAACAGCAAATTTTACCGAAACGTCCCGCCGCGAATGCTGTGTTTTTTTCGGATCAACACCGGTGTCATTGAGCGTCGTTGGGTACAACCTACTTCACGCCTGCAGCTCTCGTTGCGATACAAAACAGGGCACTCAACCCGTCGGCAAGAAGGCGGTCCCCTAAAACTATCGGGCCTGTAATACCGAACCACCCCATGCTGTCCATACCTGTTGCAAACATATCTGAAAATACAACGATGTTTTGTGTTGCGCCTGCCTTGCCTTTGGCTTCGTTTCGTAGATCAACGAGGCGGCCAGCGTCATCTACGCAAACGTCGATCCTGACGCCAACATCATCTTCGGAGCCCTCGTGGATACGGATGTCGCGAGTGAGTGTCCCCTCACACGGAGGTCCCCACCCAAGCTGTGCCAGCGAGCGTGTTTGTGTTTTGCCCCAGTCCACGATAAATTCGAGCCCCAATACACCCAGACCCACTGCGCTGATCTCGGCGAAAGACTTGAATTCTCGCAGCGGGTCAGGAGCAACGTTTTATCTTGTTTTGAAGGAAGGTGGTGTGCAGAAACCGTAGGTATTTTTTTTATGTGCCTGGCCAGTGCCTGCCCGAAAGATCTCTCTAACCCTACCCTTAACCCTAACCTAACCCCTTGGATATGCGGTTACTCTCAATCATCTCTCCCTCGACGAGTTAGATGGAGAGTTGCAGATTACTGTTTTGGCGACTGGTTTCGAGGACGGCAACACCCGCCGCGGTGTCCGGTCCTCTGCTGCTGGTGGTGCAGGTGGTGCTGCCAGGTATCCCTTCCCTAGACTGTGCGACGGGGCCAATGTAGCAGGAATTTTCACCCGTTTCATCACATCTCGTACATTCGTCGTGTTCCTGTGGTTGTGTGCACGATGACTTCCCAGAAAAAGCTGCAGTACGTAGGTGCGGTTGTCGTGCAACAGCGTGCCGTGTGTGTGTGTGTTTTGTTATTGGCATCGACCGTGCTAACCCACCGACCCAATGCAAAGACGTATGTGTGTAGACGTATGTGTGTGTCAGTGTCAAGTGTACTGGTCTCATTTATCCTGGCGCCAGTCCACACGCCTGTCGGCGTATATGTGTGATGGATCAGCCGGGGTCACACAGGCGCGTTTATGTTTCGATTGGCCCACCTCCTCCTGCGGTACTTGCCTTCGTTGTTATCGCTGAAAGGTTTCAGCCGTCCCTTTCCCGTGAAGCCAAGATGTGTCGTACTCGCGAAAAAATAAAACGTTTTCCGCTGCAAATTGCAGGAAATGAAACACCATGAAAACCATCGTTGTTTGTCCCGAATTTGCCCCGTCACCTGTGCTGGCATCCTTCGTGCGATTGGCAGGATGCCTGGCAGTGGGAGACCGGTTATTCGTACACAGGTGAGCGTGGTAGAAGAGTACAAACGCCTTCTTATGTGGAGCGCATCAGTTTGTCGCTGACAAGGTTCAGTGTTCAAGTGTATCCATCCTCGAGCAAGTGTCGAAAACACGGCTCTCATGTTTCACCATGGCAACGAGCGACCATGGCGGTCATATTCCATTCTGCATTCGAGTATTTTATTCTCGACAGCGACGATATTTTCTTTCCCGCTACCTCGGACAAAGGAACCGAGCTATTCGATACCTAGGCGAGTTCATGGTGTGTATCACCAGCACAGGTTAATGGCACTCTAGCTGTGATTTTAACCCAGCTGTGATTTTAACCCTACTGTTGCCATCGCGCGCCCCCCCCCCCCCCCCCCCCCCCCCCCCCCCCCCCCCCCCCCCCCCCCCCCCCCCCCCCCCCCCCCCCCCCCCCCCCCCCCCCCCCCCCCCCCCCCATGTTACTGCTGATGGCGAAAATGAAGATCCCTCCCCCGATGGACCGACGAGCAGCGAGCTACGTCAAGGAGCAGCTGGTGTACAGCCAGATCAAGCCGGAAGACACGCCACCGCCGTTGCCGTCTCTCGGCACCGCCCAGGGAAGCAGAGACCCGTTCCAGAGAGATCAGGTGGGAACGGAATGCGTTGCGAGGGTTTGGATCGATCGTTCTGTGGCGGCTAAGACCGCTAGCGGAAGAGAGACGTGGGTGTCGTTGGTGGTTGGCATGCACGCGTGCTTACTCATGTGGTGCCAACCAAGGGCTAGTTTGGTCAGTGATCGTTTTTTGCAAAGCGAACTCGCAAAAAAAAGAAGGCGTGATAAGAAACGCTGCCTTAGCGCGGTGCCGACCGGACTCTCCCGCAGGGATGGGACCTAGCCGCCATCCGGCGACCCGAAGAGTTAGCATTTAGCCCGCTCCCGCGGTAGGTGTCGTGGCGGCGGAACTTGAGTGTTCGCTGCCCTCCTGTACAGTATGATTATCGACTGGGGTCAGTTTTCCAATCTCCTGTTACCTGGAAAGGAGAGACTGGCATAGATAGCGCTACACGCTACACACTCTCACGACACGCACGGCAATGTGCAAGAGTGCCCACGGTAACGAACAATGCTTCCCCCAAGAGATTCATTCCTGGGCAAACACAGACAGACGTAGCCGATACATTCCTGTGAGCGACGACAGGTGGTTTTAATACAAGCATGGTCTTGCGTAATGGAACTTTTCTTTTATATTGTTTTCTTGGTCATTGGTGTTGCGAGACTCGAAACCATCGTTGTTCCGTAGTTTTGAATGGCGAGGGAAACAACAAAGCTTTCAGGTCGTAGCGGCTAGTCAAACATGCAACGTATTCCACGAAAACAAGATTAGAGGTGGTGATATCCATCCAATCCCTCGTCCTTCCCCATGTTGCCTGTCTTTCGCTTGGTATTGCCAGCGACCGGCGAAGAAGAAGCGGGGTATCCTGGGATTCCTTCGGCGTATTCTGTTCGGAAAAAAGCAATAAGAGTTGGCGTCGGGGGGTTGTTGATTATACAATTCACGCATCTGGAACAATCGAAGCCCTTTATTAGTTGGTGGGTCTATGTCCCTTTTTAATTTGGTAAGTCTTTGTCGTCTTGAAGAGTCTGTAGGAGTAGTAGTCGGATGTGGAGATCTCGTGTGTTGTACATGCCGTCGTTGGTGGTGGTTGTGGCTGGTGGTCCACGAGGGGAATGGTTTTCGGATACCTGCGAGTGTTGTCTGTTCCGTTTTTCGTCAGCTTTGAGTGCTTCTGTCAATCGCCAGAGAAAGTAGAGAGAAAGGCCACTCCCTGTTTCTTCTCGCCAGCCTGTGTCCCAAACTTGACGTACTTACCTCTCCTCCTTTGCTTCAAGCCATTCTTGTGTGACGAAACCTTGCTCAGGGTTGCTCCCCTCTTCCCAGCATTGTTACAATCCTTGGAGTTGCTTCCTAAGGGCAAGGACTACCTACCGCAAGCATGCTCTCTGGGACAACTCAAGCGAAAATGTTTCAGTGAATGAGGTGGTGTATCCTCGACAAGCAGGTCATTGTTTCTGTCCTTGATACGAGGCGGTACCTATTAGTCAGGGGGGACAAGGTCGGTGAGAGGTTTGACGAAGGAAGCCCATACACCGTGGGAGGTAGTGGCAAGGAAAGTTTGGCGTTCTAGGCTGCTACGATACGATGAGTTTTTTTATATGGGACAGGGCCGCCGCGTGAGGGAGAGGATGGAATTGAGGGTGGCCGGGAGTTCGAGTTGTTGTTATTGATGTCTTTTGTCTCCTGTCTCTTGTGTGTGTTTGTCGCTGCTGGGACGAAGCCAACACCAGTTCGCCACGCTATATGCATTGTCGCTCCTGTTGTTTACGGTTTGGGTTTGAAACAAATATTTTATCATGTGTTGTTTACCTTTCTTTCTCGCTCACTACATGCACGGCTTCAATCTTTGGTTGGTGTCAATTTCAGTCGAGGTCGGTTGCACTCGGCGAATGTCTTCGATTGGTCATGGTCGCATCTCGAAGGGCTAGCTAGCTGCTCGTAGATTTCGTGCAATAGAGGTTTAAGTGATTGATGAAGCAGTTATGTTTTGACGAGAGAGGCGTTGCGACAACTACTGGTGGTAACCTTTACTCCAGAAGAGTTTCAAAAGTCCTCTGTTGGTTTCAAGCCCAACAAAAAAAATGACTTCTTCGTGGAACATAACATGGAAGAAAAGCCTTATCTTCATTGATAATATGTAGGCATCGAACCACCAACTTGAAGCAAGTTCAAGCAAGGTCAATATCGTTGTGCCCGACCCGCATCGTTGTCCTGTGTTCTAACTGGCAACAATCGATCGTCTATACGTGCCCTACCACGCATCGACTACTTCAATTATCACAAATTTGTAGAAAAATGATTGGTTGGGTGATCAAAACACCAGAAAGTAGTGGTGTTTGAAGATGAACGAAAAATATGTAGGGGGAGAACGAAAAATAACGGCACGGCTATTTGGGACAACGTTGTCCCAAATTATTTGGGACAACACGTCTAACTCGGCGTAGAAAGCTCGGATCGACCTCAAACCAAGTTTGTTGTAATCTCTCTGGACACAGCTTTCACGGAATGTATTTCGAGTCCACAACGGAGCCGGGGCCGAGGAGATAGAGCCTAAAAAAGGGGCACCTTGTTATGGAGGATTTACCGAAGCCACGGAGCCCCTTTTTTAGGCTCTAAAGTGGTAGTTTTCCTGGACCCGCCCACAGGCCAATTGATAAATTTCTCTCTAGGGCCTGGTTATTTACCCAACAAAATATACATCAATCGAAAGCTATGAACCAGGGCTTTCGAATGAACCCACTTTTAGCTTTCACAGACACCTTGGTGACGAGTTACGCCGAATATATCGTTTCACCAAAAACGCGGTGGAACCGGTAAATTACGATTTGTCGTGCCCCCACCACCGCTGTGAATATATATATATATATATTTGGAATCCTTGAAACAAACTGGTTCAAAATCACCTGGTTCAGAACTCTTTTTTGCCAGGCCCTAGACAGAAATAAANCGCCGAATATATCGTTTCACCAAAAACGCGGTGGAACCGGTAAATTACGATTTGTCGTGCCCCCACCACCGCTGTGAATATATATATATATATATTTGGAATCCTTGAAACAAACTGGTTCAAAATCACCTGGTTCAGAACTCTTTTTTGCCAGGCCCTAGACAGAAATAAACCAAGTTTCAAGTTTCAAAAAAATCGCGTGTTTCTGGTGGGAATGTTGTACAAAAATGGAACATTTTTGTTGAAAACGGCCAATTTTTGTGATGTATGTACGCTATAGGTGCGGTAGAGGCATTTGCATATTGTTTGAGGGCGTTCCTGTGCACGTGTGGGTGGTTTGGTGCGAAAAAAAAAGAAGGATTAGCAACATATATGGGGGAAAAGTTGCTCTAGGGCCAATTTCGGGGGTTCGCGACCCGCCGCGAGCATCTTTTTTTCTATTTTTTCTCTTTTTTTCCTTTTTTTTTGGCGACTCGCTAATCTTTTGCGCCTTGCCGCGGGCGTTCCGAAGCTGTTTTTCTTTTTCTTTTACTCGCTCTCAGTCAAACGTTATGGAGGGACAACCAAAATCGGGTCCTTGAAAATTACCACTTTATCTCCTCGGCCCCGGCTCCATTGTGGACTCAAAATACATTCATTCCGTGAAAGCTGTGTCCAGTAGGATTACAACAAACTTGGTTTGAGGTCGATCCGAGCTTTCTACGCCGAGTTAGACGTGTTGTCCCAAATAAAATATTGGGGCAACGTTGTCCCATATAGCCGTGCTGGAAAAATAATGGCCATAACAGGCCCAATAAACAGGAAGTAAACATTAGTTCAACAAGATGAGGAAGTTTAATTCAGAAAACATGTTGCCTTATGAACCGTTTCAGTGCTATTCACGGACATACGAAGGTATTGGGTAGAGAGAGATAGGAGCGGTTTTTAATGTTGAAGACAACAACAACAATAATATCAAATCAACCGAAGAGAGAAATACGCAATAAAGGGAGACAACTGCTCGAAAGAAAGATGAGACTGACTTAAGACTGACGACAGGGTGCGAAAAAGCAGCAAGAACGATCTGCAAAAAAAGCAAGTATGAATATCGACAGCCGACAGAGAGGATCGAACTCTCGGCCTACACCTTACGAAGGTGCCGCTCTACCACTGAGCTATGCCGGCTGCTTACTACTCCGGTGTCTTTACAGTATATATAACTATTGTCACAAATACGGCTCATTTTCCGATGAGGTCGATTATGAAACAACGACGCGCATCTCATGTAGCTCATCGGTCGGGCGCGTCTTCGTATCCAAAAGTATATCACTGCTGCTGTCCACCATAGAGTAAACTCACGACTCGTACGATGGGTTACATATTTTCCTCATGTTTCGAGGTCGGCAGCTGGTAAACCCTTGGGATCGGCGCAGAGACCCCAACGGGTGGTGCTTCAACTGCCGAGGAGGCATAGATAGGTCACCGGTTCTTTCAGTCGCATGTTGCGGATGAGCAGTGCACGGAGCGATGTCCTGATATTGTTTGTGTTGCGATGGGGACAGATGACGTACACAGTGCTGGCCCTCTAAAGAAGTTGTTACAATGTACGATAGCTTGAGTTCCACCCTCTTTGGACATATCGTCTGCCCAAAGTCGGAAATTGCGTATTCACTTGAGTTTGTATGCACAGCCTTTCTACACAGTCCCGTTAGTTTCGTTGCGGTGCATTGATGTGCGGTTCGTAGAACCTGCTGCATGTGGTAAAGCGCCACGCCCCAGAGTTCCAAGCTTCTCCTGTATTGTTAGTATGACCCAACGAATCCATCTCTCTCTCTACCCAAGAAATCAGTCCCGTTAGGTTCGTACGGTACATTGACGTGCGGTTCGTAGAACCTGCGTGTGGTAAAGCGCACGGTACAATGCACACACACCACGAAGACTGACATCTTTTCATTGGTCAGCCGGTTAGCGCGGTCGATTGTTTGTTTTGTTTGTCTTCACATTAAACCGTATGTCAGTTGCTAAATGCCAAAATCTAGCGAATGGTGATGAGATAGACAACCCCGTTCGCGTTACCCAAGAACAGCAGTGTGGGGAATCAGCACACTTTCTGGATATGCAAATAGGGCAAGACATTCCTGGTAAGACTTGTATCGGTATGTATAATAAGCGCCAACATATGGCTACGCTGAAGCAATATATCGGGCATTCCCACATTGGGAAACAGTGTTATCTACCAGGTGTAAGATGTCGACGTTACACTGTCAAATGTGCCGATTTTCTATTAGATGTACTGACATTCGATTTTTCCAAGCTGCCACAGCCAGATTGATAGCTGACGTGCTTGCACGTTTCTATTCTATCTAGTCGACTTATACGTAATACTTTACACAATTTCATGTATACCTTTTTTCGTACCTTGCCAGTGACTGCAAACATCGTGGGTGTAAATGCACCTATGGTGCGGAATTCATACTGGAAGAAAGTGGAGTTGGGTATTTGGAATCGAGTAGATACGAATGAATTTTTGGTAGATTAGCCTGCGTGCGATTATCTTTTCCTTTATTGGGTAGTGTCCCGTTTCTTTGTTGAGCAGTTCCTGGAGAGTAGTGTTGTTGTGTTATGTTCAAATAAATATCGTTACATACATGTCTATGTGCAAAATAAGAACGCCTGTTTATAAATAATGACATGAAAATCATGTTCAAATTGCTTCTAGCGCTACCAAAATTGTACACGCATACTTTTGTAGGAGCCTGATAGCTTATAGCGATGCGAAAATCTGTGGGTAACCGCATATTTAACCGTCGAAACCGCAAGGGGGAACACTGAAAATGAAACGTGTCCCTTGCAATTAGGATAATCAATTTCTGTACACCTTTCTCAAAAATTCCCATACACCCAGGTGACAACGAAGAATTGGGAATCAAATTCCGCTGAACCAGAAATCCGCACTTCAAAGAGCCAGCCAGCGACGTCGCTGAGAAGAGCACGCATGCAGTCATTCCGGTTTTAGCTCAGCCACCCACCTCTCTTGGATTGCGGAGCTAGCCGGCATTTCGGATCCAGCCGTTGTGCGATA